GAATCGGTTTCACCAGGCACCTGGAAATCCTCTAAACAGAGACACCGATCAAGGAGTCGTTCTCCAGTCCAGAGATCTTACAGCTACCATTCGGATTCATTGGGAAGGCGCGTTCGTTCCGGACTATGAGGACTCATCTTCGGAATTAAATAATCATTTAGGACTTTGGGCAAGTTCCAGATTGGATGGCGGATCGATTTTCTGAGGTGGCTACTTCCCCAGGTCCGGGCATTGACAAGGGGGACACTATTTGGTCAGACCCAACTTCTATCCCTCTGGATCCGTTGATTAAGGATTTGATAACGGCGATCGACGAGGACTTTGCCAAGTTATCTCTCACTCCATCCATTAAGGCGCCACATTTTAGTAAGGATGATGTTCCTGTTCATACGCTTGAGGTGGCGGATTTGCCTCACTCACTTGATGAGGACTTACATCGTATGACAGGCTCCTCTAAACCTGCAACGCTTCGTATGCCGGACACTTGTTTAGCCTTTGTTGAGACGGAAATTCGTCGATCCCTTAAACCTTTGTCGGCATTGGCTTCCTCTTCGAGGGCGATTACTCAGGATTTATCGGAAAACAATCCGAATTGTATAGACCATCTCCGCACTGTGATGCCTTTTCAACAGAGGCAGATTGAGCATATGAGTAATCATTTGAAGTCAGCTTTAGCTGAAATCACATCTACTAGACGCCTGGGATATTTCGCCCTTTCAGACTGAGACTCTGAATTTAAACGCTGTTTGTTACATCAGCCATGGCCTGCTTTCTCTCTATTTAATGGTGAAGTTTCCTGTACACACTCCCGTGTCTCTGCTTTCGCCCGTGATGAGACGGCCCTCAAGGCCCTGGAACAGGTTTCGAAGAATTCGGCGTTAAAAATTCCTCGGGTAGGAAACTACCAACCTCGGCGTGCCTCTCTCAAGCCCCAGTCCAGCCAGCCCTTTCGGGGTAGAGGTCGTGAAAGTCTGGAGACAGTCTGGGAATTACCAGCCCCGCCGTGACAAGGGTTTCGGTAGGGGGAGGTACCAGAGGGGCAAGCAATGAAGTTCTGGACCTCGACGACTGGGAACTCCCACCCCCAGTAGGTGGGAGACTGGGCCGCTATTGGAAGAATTGGCGTTTACTAGGGGACCCGTTCGTCACCAATATTCTCCGGCGGGGTTATCGACTTCCTCTGATAGACAATCCACCATTAACCATCTCACCCAAAGCAGATGTCTACCCCCCAACCATCATCACATCTTATTGGACAATATAAACATTTTGTTAGTAAAGAATGCCATAGAGGTGGTTCAGGGGCCGACACTGACACCAGGTTTTTATTCCCCAGTATTTTTGGTTCCCAAAAAGGACTCCAACAAGTTCAGGATGATCCACAATCTGTCTCGGTTCAACAAACATTATCTGGAACCTCCGCCTCACTTTCAAATGACAACGTTGAGACTGCTCAGGACCAGAATCAGCGCTCACGATTACCTGATCAGTCTCGACTTGCAGGACGCGTATTTGCATGTGCCAATCCACCCCAGCGACGGGCGTTTCCTCAGGTTTATTTTCAATGGTATCCATTACCAATGGACGGTACTCCCGTTTGGAATTTCTTCGGCCCCGTGGCTTTTCACACGAATAACCAAGCCAATAGCAGCCTTTCTACACCTGAGGAACATTCAGTTCGAGTCTTACATCGACGACTCTCTCCTCAATCAGCAGGACCCATCAACTCTGGGCCTTCACAGACGCCTGCTTAATCAGCTGGGATGGATTATCAACGAGAAGAAATCGGAACTCACTCCCTCTTGCACGCTACAGTTCATAGGGGGTTTGTTTCAGACACATCTGGATCTTTTATCCGTTCCAAGGGATCGCTGGCTCAAGACTCTGCAGCATCTTTACCCAGCGTACCATCAATCTCGTACTCTTCGCCAATGGCAAGTACTTACTAACGTCCGCCCAGGACCTGACTACCAGGGGTCGCCTTCAACTGGGTCCGATCCAAATTTTTCTTACCCCTTTCATCGCTACCAGCGTTCTGCCAATTTCCATCTCTCTCCTGTCTCACCTCAAGATGTACCTGCAGTGGTGGACAAAAGAGTCGAACGACTTAGGAGGTGTCTCCTTGACCGAGTTAACACCCACTCTATGCCTCTTCGTAGATGCGTCTCTCCAGGGTTAGGGAGCCCATCTTGAGGGCGAGGTCGTCTCAGGGCGGTGGTCCGCCGACCAAGGCCAGTGGCATATCAATGATCTGGAGTTGGAGACAGTCATTCTGGCCGTGTCTCATTGGCAGTTGTGTCTTCAGCTTGCCGAACTCATCAAATCGACGGTGGTTTGGTGTCTTCGCAACCAGTGAATGACTCATTCTCTTTCCCTGTAACGTCAGGCATTTTGATTTTTTCATCTTGTCGATCGCCTGGGCTTGAAGTTCATCGTCCAGCATATTCCGGGTTGCAGAAACATTCTGGCGGACGACCTTTCCAGACCGGACAGGGTAGCACCCACGGAATGGAAGCTTCAGCCGGAGGCGTTTGACATTGTGTGTCGCCTTCTCGGCCATCCCAACATAGATTTGTTTGCCACCAGTCAGAACTTCCGTATCCAAACCTACATATCTCCAGTTCCGGATCCACAAGCATGGGCGGTGGACGCTCTCAACCTTTACTTGGGAAAACCTAAGCACGTACGCTTTTCCATCCCCGGTCCTTCTGCCCAGGATCCTGCGAAAGGTCAGTGCGACCCAGCAACTCTCTCTGATTTTGATCACGCCTTGGTGGCCAACCTAGAGTTGGTTTGTGGATTTAAGAAAGTTTGTCACCCGCGAGCCTCTAACGCTGCCAGAGTGGCCAAACCTGTTGATACACCAACACAGCAGGCTTCCACACCCGGCTCCAAGTCAGTTTCATCTGCACGCCTGGTACATTTGCAAAGGGCTTTAAGTGCCAAGGATTATTCAGCTAGAGCGGCAAGGGCCATAACCTTGGAACATAGGCCTTCTACTCGAGGTTTATATGACGGCTAATGGAGGTCCTTTGAGAGGTTTTGCAAGGCCAAACACCAGGATCCTGTTACCGCTTCACCTCAATTCTTGGCTTTCTGCGAAATCATAGACACCTCAAGGGCAGTACTATTACGACATATTTGGTGGCTTTGAACTCAGTATTGGTAGTTCCTGAGGACAGGAAGATGACCAAGATTCCAGAGTTGCAAGCTTTGTTGCGTTCGTTCCGTTTAGAGGACCAGAGGGCCAAGTTCAGGCTGCCTGTGTGGGACCTGAACGTGGTGCTTCGGCTGTTACAGGAGGCGCCGTTTGAGCCACTTCACGCCATCTCCTTTTACAGTCTCACCAAGAAGACTGCTTGCGTTGACCACGGCAGCTAGGGTGAGCAAGCTGCATGCTCTTGATGTCACTCGTGTTTGTTTTGAACGGAACCCACATAGAGCCGTCCACCTGGGACTGTGCTGGGGACTTCATCGCAAAATATCAACTCCCTGGACAGCCCGACAGGTCTTTCACAATTCCCCCTCTCTCTTCAATTGTGGGATCTGAGGATGAGGCAGAACTTCATTTATACTCGGTCCATGCACTGCGGTGTTTTCTGCGTCGGTCTAAGGCTCATCATGGTGCAAGGAAACGACTTTTCATTCCTGTCTCCAAGTCATCTAAGGCAGAAGTTAGTCGTAACACCTTGGCGTTATGGTTGCGTGCCATCATTCTTCAGGCATATGAAGCCGCCAACTTGGACCGTCCTCGGACAAACAACCCTCATGAGATTAGAGCGGTAGCATCCACAATGGCCCTTCACAGTAATTGTTCCATTAAATCCATCATGGAAGGATGTTTTTGGAAGTCTGATACCATTTTCGCCAGTCACTACTTGAGGGACGTGGCGTTGGAGGATGTAGAGGGCATACACAGTTTTGGTCCTTTGTTGGTGGCACAGCAGGTTACCAATTCCAATCACCATTAGCTCCACGGCAGTCCAGAGCAAGCCTTGCAACTCTTTTGGTGTATGTCACCTCAGACGAGCAGGTTACATGCTGTTTGCATTCGCTCGGTAGGTCAGTTTCAGATTTTAGCGTATGCTTTTCTTTTACTGTCAGGCTACCTGGACGCCTTACATTCCTCACTGTTTTCGATCCTCCTGGCAGGTGTGGTCTTTAGGACTCTTCGGCCAGGGGTCTTGACGGATTATCTCCGGCAATGTGAGAGGTTTCTTTTTATCAAGAATATATCATCTGGAGGTTTGCCTGCCTCCTTTCCGTCGGATACAGATGCATTAATGAGTAATGCAGGATAAGGTAAAAATCTAGTAAAATCTAGATATGTTTTATATTTGTAAACTTATCCTGCATTACTCAGTCTTGTCGCCCGCCCATCGCTGCGCTGCCTCCCTACAATGTTTTTCTCATCAGATGTTCCGATCCAGCAGTAATGTGAGGATATGTGACGTCAGCACCTTCCAGGTCACGTGGGCACAGTGCGAAGGCAATATGGCGGCTCGCTTAGTTGGAACAACTTCTCTTCGATGTTTCAATCGCACAGCTTCGTCTTGTCAAGGGAAAGCAGTAAATGCATTAAGGAGTAATGCAGGATAAGTATACAAATATAAAAAATATCTAGATTTTACTAGTTTTATTTGTTTCAATGCTTAATATATTGTTTTTGCAACAATGCTAAATTCGTAACAGAAAGTCAATTACAATAAAGTAGATATTTTAATTATTTATTTTGATTTTATTTATCTGAGGTAATTAAAAAATGGGAAAATTACCCCCAAAAATTCCACTTTAGCAAAAATTACTTTCGGCGGATGCGTAAACCAAGTAATAAAAAAGTGTGGCCTAAAAGGAATTGTTTGAAGTGAAAGGCAATGTGTAGCTTTATAAATCAGTCATAGGCTACTGCACAGTAGCTATTTGTATATTTGTAGCCTGAGAAATATGTTCATGTCTTGAATATCCTCTATTTGTGTGGATAATATGACTGATGTTTTCAGGCCAGTGAACATGATTGCTCAGAGTCAGAGTGGTACTGGCAAGACTGCAGCCTTCGTCCTCACCATGCTGAGCAGATGTGACACTACCATCAATAATGTACAGGTGAGAGAGCTGCTAGGACCATACACAGCACTCTTATGATCAGTTATTGCTGTAGTTGTATTCTGATACAACATGATGAGCCCAGCATATGGTGAGAGGTGAGAGAGCTGCTAGGACCATACACAGCACTCTTATGATCAGTTATTGGTGTAGTTGTATTCTGATACAACATGATGAGCTCGACATATGGTGAGGTGAAGTGAGAGAGCTGCTAGGACTATACACAGCACTCATATGATCAGTTATTGCTGTAGTTGTATTCTGATACAACATGATGAGCTCGACATATGGTGAGAGGTGAGAGAGCTGCTAGGACCATACACAGCACTCATATGATCAGTTATTGCTGTAGTTGTATTCTGATACAACATGATGAGCCGACATATGGTTAGAGGTGAGAGAGCTGCTAGGATTCATACACAGCACCCATATGATCAGTTATTGCTATAGTTGTATTCTGATACAACATGATGAGCCCGACATATGGTGAGAGGTGAGAGAGAGCTGCTAGGACCATACACAGCACTCATATGATCAGTTATTGGTGTAGTTGTATTCTGATACAACATGATGAGCCGACATATGGTGAGAGTGAGAGAGCTGCTAGGACCATACACAGCACCCATATGATCAGTTATTGGTGTAGTTGTATTCTGATACAACATGATGAGCTCGACATATGGTGAGAGGTGAGAGCTGCTAGGACTATACACAGCACTCATATGATCAGTTATTGCTATAGTTGTATTCTGATACAACATGATGAGCCCGACATATGGTGAGAGGTGAGAGAGCTGCTAGGACCATACACAGCACTCATATGATCAGTTATTGGTGTAGTTGTATTCTGATACAACATGATGAGCCGACATATGGTGAGAGGTGAGAGAGCTGCTAGGACCATAGGTGGGGTGAGGTGAAATTGGGTAGTTGTACTGATACAACGTGCTTGAGAATATTTATGGCTCATAGAGAGCTGCTAGGACGATGCACAGCGATCAGTTGTATGTGTCTGATACAATGTCACATGGTGAGGAGGTGAAGGCTGAGGAGAGCTGCTGGGACCGGCTGCTTGTACTATGCCCAGACTTAAGCTGGTTTTATAGTGCTAGCCAACTAGATACCATGCCTAGTGAAGCATGAATATTACCCACTCAGACACATTATACTGACTCGATGATGACCGACATCCCTGGTTGTACCCATTAATGCAAAGCCAGACAGGGACCAACAAGTACCATACTTAAACGTCTTTTGGTATGATCGGTCGGGATTGAACCCTCGACCTTCTGCTTGTATTCTGATACTAACATGATACAGCCCGACATTTGGTGAGGCGGTTAGAGAGCTGCTAGGACTATACACAGCACTCATATGATCAGTTATTGCTGTAGTTGTATTCTGATACAACATGATGAGCCCGACATATGGTGAGAGGTGAGAGAGCTGCTAGGACTATACACAGCACTCATATGATCAGTTTTTGCTGTAGTTGTATTCTGATACAACATGATGAGCCCGACATATGGTGAGAGGTGAGAGAGCTGCTAGGACCATACACAGCACTCATATGATCAGTTATTGCTATAGTTGTATTCTGATACAACATGATGAGCGGCCGACATATGGTGACGAGGTGAGAGCATGCGCTGCTAGGACTATACACAGCACTCATATGATCAGTTATTGCTGTAGTTGTATTCTGATACAACATGATGAGCCCTGACATATGGTGAGAGGTGAGAGAGCTGCTAGGACCATACACAGCACTCATATGATCAGTTATTGCTATAGTTGTATTCTGATACAACATGATGAGCCGACATATGGTGAGAGGTGAGAGAGAGCTGCTAGGACCATACACAGCACTCATATGATCAGGTATTGGTGTAGTTGTATTCTGATACAACATGATGAGCCCGACATATGGTGAGAGGTGAGAGAGCTGCTAGGACCATACACAGCACTCATATGATCAGTTATTGCTGTAGTTGTATTCTGATACAACATGATGAGCCCGACATATGGTGAGAGGTGAGAGAGCTGCTAGGACCATACACAGCACTCATATGATCAGTTATTATACCCCCGCTACGAAGTAACGGGGGTATATAGCGTTCATTCTGTCCGTCCGTCTGTCTGTCCGTCCTGAAACTTTGTCCGGATGTTTACATGCTAGGTTCACCAAACTTCACACACATGTTAATCATTACCCATTGATGTGCCTTTTGCTGTTTTATAATATTTTAAGATTTTTTTTTTGTTGCTGTTTCCATGGAAACACGACTTAGTGCCAAATGTGTTTGGTGGTTTTTGTCCGGAGCATATCTCTTAAAGTTTACATGCTAGGTTCACCAAACTTCACACACATGTTAATCATTACCCATTGATGTGCCTTTTGCTATTTTAAAGTTTTTTCAGAATTTCGTTTTTTTGCTGTTTCCATGAAAACATGACTTAGTGCCAAATGTGTTTGGTGGTTTTTGTCCAGAGCATATCTCTTAAAGCTTACATGCTAGGTTCACCAAACTTCACACACATGTTAATCATTACCCATTGATGTGCCTTTTCTATTTTAAAGTTTTTTCAGAATTTTTTTTTTTTTTTCTGTTTCCATGGAAACACGACTTAGTGCCAAATGTGTTTGGCGGTTTTTGTCCGGAGCATATCTCTTAAAGTTTACATGCTAGGTTCACCAATCTTCACACACATGTTAATCATTACCCATTGATGTACCTTTTGCTATTTTAAAGTTTTTTCAGAATTTTTTTTTTTGCTGTTTCCATGGAAACATGACTTAGTGCCAAATGTGTTTGATGGTTTTGTCCGGAGCATATCTCTTAAAGTTTACATGCTAGGTTCACCAAACTTCACACACATGTTAATCTTTAACCATTGATGTGCCTTTTGTTATTTTAAAGTTTTTCAGAATTTATTTTGTTGTTGTTTCCATGGAAACATGACTTAGTGCAAAATGTGTTTGATGGATTTTGTCCGAGCATATCTCTTTAAAGTTTACATGCTAGGTTCACCAAACTTCACACACATGTTAATCTTTAACCATTGATGTGCCTTTTGTTATTTTAAAGTTTTCAGAATTTATTTTGTTGTTGTTTCCATGGAAACATGACTTAGTGCAAAATGTGTTTGATGGTTACCTGGCCACAGCATATCATCGAAACTATACATGCTAGGTTCACCAAACTTAATACACAAGTTAATCATGACCCACAGATATGCCATGTGCTAAAAATAACAATCTTCATCTACGTCCACTTCATTGTGTGCAACAAGTTCAATTGTATGTCAGGTTTCCACGGAAAACACAAAAAAGTAATGTTTCCATAAATTATTACTGTAATCAGTACATGGCAAAACAATTACCTAACATGTATATAAAGTTTAGTAGAGTCAAGGAGAAAGTCTTGTGAGCTGCTGATCCTTGTCACATTATGTATATCAATATCAGTCATTTCCATGTCCCAAAGTGGGAAGCGGGGTATGTGAGCTGTGCTCACTTCTACACTTGTTGCTGTAGTTGTATTCTGATACAACATGATGAGCCCGACATATGGTGAGAGGTGAAAGAGCTGCTAGGACCATACACAGCACTCATATGATCAGTTATTGCTGTAGTTGTATTCTGATACAACATGATGAGCCCGACATATGGTGAGAGGTGAGAGAGCTGCTAGGACCATACACAGCACTCATATGATCAGTTATTGCTGTAGTTGTATTCTGATACAACATGATGAGCCCGACATATGGTGAGAGGTGAGAGAGCTGCTAGGACCATACACAGCACCCATATGATCAGTTATTGCTGTAGTTGTATTCTGATACAACATGATGAGCCCGACATATGGTGAGAGGTGAGAGAGCTGCTAGGACCATACACAGCACTCATATGATCAGTTATTGGTGTAGTTGTATTCTGATACAACATGATGAGCCCGACATATGGTGAGAGGTGAGAGAGCTGCTAGGACCATACACAGCACCCATATGATCAGTTATTGCTGTAGTTGTATTCTGATACAACATGATGAGCCCAGCATATGGTGAGAGGTGAGAGAGCTGCTAGGACCATACACAGCACCCATATGATCAGTTATTGGTGTAGTTGTATTCTGATACAACATGATGAGCTCGACATATGGTGAGAGGTGAGAGAGCTGCTAGGACTATACACAGCACTCATATGATCAGTTATTGGTGTAGTTGTATTCTGATACAACATGATGAGCCCAGCATATGGTGAGAGGTGAGAGAGCTGTAGGTTAGGTGGGGTGAGGTGAAATTGGGTTTAACGGCGTAGCTTGAGAATATTTAGCTCATATGACGACGTGCATGCGTGTGTATGTGTATGTCGCGGCTGCTTGTACTAGCCCAGACTTAAGCTGGTTTTATAGTGCTAGCCAACTGAGATACCATGCCGCAGTGAAGCATGAATACCCCACTCAGACACATTATACTGACTCGAGCCGACCGTCCCTGGTTGTACCCATTAATGCCAAAGCCAGACAGGGACCAACAAGTACCATACTTAAACGTCTTTTGGTATGACGCTGGTCGGGATTGAACCCTCGACCTTCTGCTCATAGCGGACGCTCTAACCACTACACCACGTAGGCTGTTAGAGAGCTGCTAGGACTCATACACAGCACTCATATGATCAGTTATTGCTGTAGTTGTATTCTGATACAACATGATGAGCCCGACATATGGTGAGAGGTGAGAGCTGCTAGGACTATACACAGCACTCATATGATCAGTTTTTGCTGTAGTTGTATTCTGATACAACATGATGAGCCCGACATATGGTGAGAGGTGAGAGCTGCTAGGACTATACACAGCACTCATATGATCAGTTATTGCTATAGTTGTATTCTGATACAACATGATGAGCCCGACATATGGTGAGAGGTGAGAGAGCTGCTAGGACCATACACAGCACTCATATGATCAGTTATTGCTGTAGTTGTATTCTGATACAA